GAGTGAGCAGTGGAGAATCAGCCAAGGTGTTGAATTGGTTATTGTGTCCACAAGGGTCACTAATCTCATTTCATCCAGTGATCGCCCCCTCCGCTAAGCTCACAGACTCCCAACCCCCACAGCTCGCTTCTAACTCCTTCCCAAAGTCCACAAACAGGACTGTCCAAGCGGACCCATTGTTTCTGCTCGCTCCTGCCCCACAGAACTCATCTTTTCCTACCTTGACACTAGTTTTTTTCTCCCCTTCTCCAGTCCCTTCCCACATACATCCATGATTCCTCCGAAGCTTTGTGTCAATTTTAGAATGTCCAGTTGCGGGCTCCATCTGTCTCCTCTTTACTATGGATGTACATTCCCTTTACGCGTATATCCCCCATCAGGATGGTCTCAGGGCTTTCTACTTTACCTGGAACAAAGGCCTGAACCTTCCCAGCCATCACCAGCCTCAGCTCACCTTAATTCTGAACAACTTCACTTTTAACTCCTCTCATTTTCTAATGGTCAGAGGGCTGGCCATGGGTACCCACATAAGCCCCAGTTATGCCTGTCTCTCTGTTGGGTACGTAGAACACTTCTTGTTCCGGTCCCACTCCAGCCCCCACCCATGACTCTTTCTCCAATAATGCAATGATTTCATCGGTGACCCCTCCCTCTCTCATCCAGAATTGGAAAAGTTTATCAATTTCACTTCCAATTTCCACCCGTTCTTACCTTTAATTGGTCTATCTCAGACTCCTCGCTTCCCTTCCTTGACATCTCTGTATCCATTTCTGGGGATAGACTAGCCACCAATATCCACTACGAACTAATCAACTCCCACAGTTACCTTGACTACACATCCTCACACCCTGCTTCCTGTAAAGACCACATTCCATTCTCTTAGTTCCTCCATCTCTGTCACATATGTTCAGATGAGGCCAACTTCAACAAGGGATTCTCTGAAACGTCCACCTTCTTCCTCAACCGAGGAATTCCCAGCACCGTTGTCGACAGGGCCCTCAACCAGGTCTGACCCATCTCCCGCATTTCCACCCTCACCCCTTCTCTTCCTTCCTGCAACAGCGATAGGGTTCCCCTTGGCCTCATTTACCATCCCACCAGCATCTACATCCAGAAGATCATTAGCTGCCATTTCCGCCACCTCCAGCGAGATATCACCATCACCAGACACATATTCCCTCGTCAGCCTTCTGCAAGGACCGTTCCCTCTGGGATATCCTGAACCTCTCCTCCTTCACTCCCAACATCCCCCCACCACAGCCCCATGGTACCTTCCCGTGCAACCACAGAAGGTGTAACACCTGTCCATTTACCTCCTCCCCCCACCACCTCCTCAGTATCCAATGGCCCATGTATGTCTTCCTGGCAAAGCAGCACTTTACCTGCACTTCTCACAATCTAATCTACTGCATTTGCTGCTCGTATTGTGGTCTCTTCTATACTGAGAAAATGAAGCACAGACTGGGTGAGCTTCATAGAACACCTACGTTCTGCTCACAAAAAAAACCCTGAGCTTCCAGCTGCCTGCTACTTCAACACACCACCTTGTTCCCTGGCCAATCTCTCTGTCTCAGGCTTGCAGCAGTGTTCCAGCGAAGCTGGAAGAACAATGCCTTATTTTCTGCTTGGAACTCTACAGCCTTCTGGATTCAGTATCAAGCTCAACAATTTTATGGCTGGAGGCACCTTCTCCCACGTCCTTACCCAAACCCCGACACACCAAACCTTGTTATTACATGGTCTGCTATTACACACAATCCACTGTTAGCCTTTAATAGTCCCCATTTGTAGCTATTCATTCTCCCTGGCTGATCATTATCCACTCCTTTGTCTGTCCCTCTGTCCTTCTCTCTCTTTGGGCTCTATCTCCAACTATTGTTTACTCCTTACCACCCCCTATCCCTGTCCTATATTCTGCATAAAAAGAAACCTTTCCTAGCTACCATCAGTCACGAAGAAGACTCACTAGACCCAAAACATTAACTAGGATTTCTCTCCTCAGATGCTGCCAGACCTGCTGAGATTTCCCAGCAACTTCTGTTTTTGTTTCTGATTTCCAGCAGCCGCAGTTCTTTTGGTTCTTTAACGTGGAATTGATGACCCGTCTGACACCATTGCACATTGACATCATCGGCCGAAGGTAAATTCTCACCGGACTGTGTGGAACAAGCGGTTAACCTGCTTCTTATTACGACTGACAAAGTAAAAGTTCACAGCATGACTGTCTCCAGGGATTGGCCAAATTGTAGGTGCAGAATAAACAGTGAGAACATACTGACAACACAGAAAAGGTACTGGGGGGATGCAAAAATCCTCGGGATAACTATCCGTATCTTCCAGGCACCGCTTCCCATGAGAAAGATGCTGCCAATTTAAGGATTGAAACATTGATGCGGATCCTTTAGTGATTACTTTTAGAGGAACGGTGGCCTAATAATAAAGTCATTGGGCGAGCAATCTAGGGCCCCAAACTGTAGGACATGGGTTCCAATCTCACCATTTGCAGCTGGTGCCATTTCAATTCAATTCATTAAAAAGTCAGGGTAGAAGGATAGTAGGAACTGCCGATGCTGGGGAATGTGAGATAACAAGGTGTAGAGCTGGATGAACACAGCAGGCCAAGCAG